TGTTCATTTTTTATTTATTTTAATTATGTAACATTTGCGCGCGTGAATTATATAACGTTGAAGTACTTAGTTTTATTTTGGAAAAAAATGCTTTAAAAGATTGTCGGAGACAAATTTAATTTTGTGAATTTATAAAAGTGTTTAGTTTGATTTTGACAGATAAAAATTGTAAATGAAAAAAAAACAAAGTAAATGATAGTAATTGTATTAATGAATGAAATTAAGAATATTTATATAATCAGGGGCGAATAATTATACCGTAACTTCACGGGTAATCGCCGATTACCCATGAAATTACTCTAAATAACAAGTCATTTGTCATTTGAATCATTTGTCATTCCTAATCATTTGACTAGCGCTGCATTGAACTGGAGAAATTTACCTAAACTGTTATAATTCATATTCCTAAGAAATGCTTTGTTTAACATGATAAGGTATATAAGCTTCACGGTTAAAGAGAAGTTAGCAAAAAAAGAAAATGTATAAACGATAGAAGGGAAACGGATAAGAAAAATATAAAATCAGGCGAAAAAAACGATCATAATCAAGTAAACTTTAATAATCTTAATAAACTTGATGTAAAAATTCCTCTGGCTCAGCCGTATAAAAAGGGAAAGAGGAACGATCCGATCCTAAGTAAAAGAGCGTAATTATCAAAGAAATCGTTCGATCGCAACGGCCGAACCCAGAAACAAAAAAAGCACTAACAAAATAAATAAAATCAAAAAAATATATTTTAATGCGATTCAAGATTTATTCTTATTATAATCGGTACCATCGAGACCTAAGTTTTTTTGCCTACATCCCTGAAAATCTAATGTTTAAATGGAGTTTTTATGTATTTACTTATTTATTACGATTTGGGAATTATACACCTTATCTAATTCTCAGAATGTTTAGTGATATCAATATAAAAAACAAATGCGTTTATAAAAACCTTAAAATCCATACGATTCCTGTTTAACGCTTGTACCTACAACAAATAAAATACTCAACATAAAGGCCTAAAACAAGATTGATTCAAGAATCAAGATTTTTTGGTGAATAAAAAAGGTTAATATTTGACCGGAATTAGCAAGTTTTTACTCTTGGTTAAAGCATCATAATAAATAGCTGTGTTACGCTCGTTATAAAAATTTATTACAAAGAAAAAAAAATGATATAAAAAATGTTTTAGAAAACTAAAATAGATTTCTTCAAAACATAATAACCCTTTATAAACGGAATTTTTAACGATGGTCAATAGTTGCTCTAGATTTAGGAATCGTACATATATATAGCACATTTTTTATTACAAGATTTACCCGTCCAAATGCGATTCCTGGTCCAATTCCACTTCCATATATTGGGAATCAACATTAATTTTGTGGAGAAATGCTGTATCACAATTCTTTAAAAGATACATGATGGCATCCAAGAAGAAAACGAGAGGAATTGATTGGAGCGGATTTCTTAGAAAAATTTACCCAACAAATCTACAAACAATTTATTCACCGATCGTTCAAAATTATTAATGAATACGGGTTTTCCAAATAAAGGAATAATATATAATAGAATCTTTGATACGTGATACTATCGTAAATTCTTCATGCTATGGACCGAAAATACTTTTACAAACTACATATAATATAATTGTATATGCGTTGGCAAACTATTTCAATTAACTTCGATAATTAATAGATAACCTCGAAAATGTCGACTAGGGATGTTAATGGTCGGTCATAGTCGGTTAACGGTCGGTCAACGGTCGGTCAAAGGCCTTTGACCGACCGGTTGACTGACCGTTAGAAAAAAATAAAAAAATTTAATAATTTATTAAAAAAATTATTATTATTACACAATAAAGAAAAAAGTTTTTAATTTTAACCTTTGTCAATCATCTTGTTTGGCTTATCGGAGTCGTATTTTACACAGTGTTCGCTATTAATGAAGGTTGTATGATCGAAAATTTCGGTCTTTGCCTGCAAAAGCTGGTTTTTTATTTTTTATGAAAAATTAAGAAAAAAATTTATAAAGAAATGGAATTCGAGGGATGGTTATCTCTTTCTTTCGTTACTACAAAAAGAGGTAAATAAATTTTATTTTATTTTATTTTATTTTTTAAAATTCAAAGAAAAAATAAATACTTACCTACTTTCGATTTCAGGATTCCAGAATGCTTCGGCATCTACAAAAAGAAGTAAGTAAATTTTTAATTTAATATTTTTTTAAATTCAAAGAAAATGAATACTTACCTACTTTCGATTTGTAGGGTTCCAGTATTCGGAATCTACAAAAAAGGTAATAAATTTTAATTTTTTTTTTAAAATTAAAAGAAAAAAACAAATTACTTACCTTTATTCTATTTGTAAGATTCCAGTATTCCGGAGGGCTTTGACATCTACAAAAAAAAGGTAAGAAAATTTTAATTTAATTTTTTACTTTTTTTTAAATTAGAAGAAAAAAATAACTTAACTTCATTTGATTCATACGATTCCAGGTAGGGTTCTGCGAAAATTGATTCAACACAGTAAAATGAATCGAATCGAATTGAAACTTTTATTTTTTACATATTAATCGATCTAACTCCAAAGTATTTTTCAATGCTGCCTAAATGTTGATCATTTTGCTAAAATTAGAAACTGGTATGAACGTCCATGAAAAAAAATTTGGAGATTCGATTAAATCGATTCCAATCACTAATTCCAGGACTTCGGCATCTACAAAAAAGGTAAGAAAATTATAAAAATAAATACTTACCTTTCGATTCCAGGATTCCGGAGGCTTCAGCATCTACAAAAGGAGGTAAGTTTTTTTAAATTAAAATATAAACAAATTAAAATTAAAATTAAAAACGCGTACCTCCTTTTGTAGATGCCGAAGCCTCCGGAATCCTGGTGCCGCAGCCTCTGAAATCTTGGAATCCTACGAAATGAACAAAAGTAGTTATTTTTTTTTAAATTAATATAATAATAAATAACTTACCTTTGTTCATTTCGTAGATTCCAAGATTCCAGAGGACTTCGACATCTACAAAAGAAGGTAAATTTTTTAATTTATATTTTTTTTAATTTCAAAGAAAAAAATGGATATTTACTTACCTTTGTTTGATTTGTCGGATTCCATGATTCCGGAGCCTCTACAAAAAGAGGTAAATCTTAATTTTAATTTTTTTTTAAATTAAAAGAAACAAATGAATAACTTACTTTCATGATTCCAGGATTCCGGAGGGCTTAGGTATCTACAAAAGAGTAAAGTAAAAATTAAAAATTATAATTTTAATTGTTTTTTTAAATTAAAAAAAAAAAAAAAGAATTACTCTACAATTATATCTCGTTAATCTCATTAGTAATACTTCATATTACAGTTTCTAATATAGAAAAGTCTAAAATGTTAAAAAAAAAAAAAAAATGAATTGGGCTCTTATTTTTTCTTTCATTTTCAGGTTGTCATATTTCGGAGGGTTGTGTTTAAAATTATCAGAGATTTATTATCTCGTTATAATTATTTATATTTTTGTAGTCAAAATCGGTCGGTCAACCGGTCGGTCAGAGGCCTTTGACCGACATCGGTCACGGTTATGACCGGTCATGACCATAACCATTAGCATCCCTAATGTCGACGTCGTAATTAAACCGTAGTATTGTTGTGATTTATAAAAATCTATACATGACAATTATAGCGACGATGTTTTATTAGCAATTTTATCAAACATGTAAAGAAAGGTTTCCTTGGCAATTCATAAATTTTTTATTTTTAAAATAGTTTATTATACTTTTCTTATTTGCATTATTTTATTTATTTAATGTTTGTCATTGTATAAATGCGTAGAACACTAAATTTTATATATATGCTTGAAAATTAATAAATAAAGTAACAGTCCGATTGTTGCAAGTCTTGGTGATAGACTTACGGACTTTAATAAAATACTATCACATATTACATTTTCAACACTTTCTCATGTCTTCATATAGGCTCCGCTCCGATTGTGATAATAAACTACACGATTGAATCGTAAATAAATCGTTATTAGTGTTATATTCTTTGAGAAAGACTTTCAAAATAAAGTTTTTTTTGCATCAAAAGCTCCAAAATCTCGTATTTATAAGTTAAATCGTATATTAAAAATCTTGCTGCTATATAGCTTCCATCCGGTTAATACTTTATTTGTTAATACATTATCAAATAGTGAATTTCTCGTTCGTCTTGACTTAATGTGACAATGAAATGGTGGTTTTTCAATGTTCCCTTCTTTTAATATTTGAGGTTTAGAAACTTTCGAAAAATTCTTTTAACTTATTGGTACACGAGACTTTAAGAAGTAAAATCATTAGCATTTTTATGGTAATAAATATCTCAGATAATATAAAATAATATCTTAAAGGGTTATTATTTAGAAATAATATTATGTAGTTAATTAAACCAAGTTCTTCTAATATTTAAATTTCTATACAATTAATATTATAAAGTATAAATATTTTTATTAAATTTTTATTTATTTAAAAATGTTATCAAAAAAATAAGATTTTCAAAAATTTATAAGGTTTAACGTAAGGACAACAATTTGAAAAAAAAAATAATATATTGCATATAAAAAAATATTTGGTAACTAATAGTTAATAAAGAGCTCTTTTTTAATTTATTTTATCTCTTTAATAAAGACTGACTGTGTAATTATAATATTTTAGATAATCTTATCAATATCATGAATTGTTTTTAAAAAAAAATGGCTCGTGATTTAACAAACCTTATTTTCTCACACACGGAAACATTGAAAAAAATGTGAAAATAATCATGTGGCATATCTAAAGAATCAAATTTGCAAAATAATCTAGAAACAAATTTTTTGTGCAAAAATGTGAGTTTTCATTTACCCTGAACGTGAACTTCTCTTTTTTAAAATCCTTATGATACGTACAAATTTACTATGCAGTCAATATATCCATTCCTTATGATTTCAAGACTTTGATTCCGTCAACTATAATTTTAACTATAACACATTTTATCTCCTCTAGCCTATCCTATAATACGACAATATTCTCTACATTTTCAAGGTGTAAGCTGTTTTTATTAAGGTTGACTAATGGCAATTATGATTTTTTATTTCATATTTATTTACTTGAAAAGGAAACTTATGTATGAGGTTGCAAAGTCTTTGGACAAATAGTTTCGCAACGACTGCACCAATTACCCATTGTTCTCAATATCAACGACCCTGCTAAATAAATATTATCGTAGTTGACCGACAGGTAAATTCTTCTAGCTGCTTGTATGCTTATGACCGTTATATAATCGGAGGTGCCAATTTACACATCAACTTCTTGATCTCTCTCGTGAAGTTACTTCCTTGTAATTTAAAAGTAATCTTGCCCGGTATATTTCATGATATTAATAAAGACATTTTTTAACCCGTATAGGTGATTTTTTGGGGGCAACGGAACGTTTTGGGGGACGAATTTCGGTTTGCAAGTAATATATAACTTATTACAGTTTTCATTTCATCGAGAAATTCCTTAGTTAAAGTTAGAAATTAACATGCTCAGTTGTTATTCGGGGGCAAAAGTATCGCAAATAATCACATAATAACTTTATTTTGTTTATTATGTTACATAATCCCAAAATAATCCCTCTTATCACACCACCCGCTATAATTTATAAAAGTTACACACTCATAAAGAAGGACTAGACTACATGGTGCAAATCGACCCCTATCCGAAGACATGGGGACAGAGCCAGCCTATAACCATCGCCCCCCTCCACAAGAGGGAGTCTAAACACCCACAAAAGTGAATGCAAACTGAGGAATAGACAAATGAATTCTATCCTTATTTATATTAAAAAATGAAAAAATGTGAAATTGTGGGATTCAAAGATCTTCATAATATACACTAATTATGGAAATATATGGTGATGAGAAATAACGTGATTTTAAAGATTTAATAGCCAGCAATTTAATTGGTAAAACCTTCAAAAATTTCTCGCAGAAATGATCACTCGTTACGACAACGAAAAAAAACTAGAATTCTTATTATAAAAAAGAAATCAAAAAAAAACAGGAAGTATAGTTCTGTGACTTGCAAGTCGAAATTCTAAATTTTCAAAAATTTTATTAAGGAGTCAGAGAAAAAGAATTAAATATATCTAAATCTCAACTTGAAGAAAAATTTATTAAAATGGATTGTTGTCTATACAGACTATACAGAACAAATAAAAACCTCGAAAAAGAATCACACTTACTTCATTTGAATTCTATACACACAACCGTCACAACTACAACAAATAACTTTACTTCCACAACACAACAACTATATTCACCACCACTGCCCTGTTTCAAAAATATGGATGAATACTTTAATACGAAAAAAAAGGAGTAAGGTAAATTTTATTATTATTATTTTAATTTTATTTTGTTTTATGATGAATTTTATTCATTATGTAAAGCTCATTTTTAGTCAATTATAAAACCGAAGAGAAAGCTTGGCAAGATTGTTATAAAATTTCTTTTTATTGCTTTATGTATCAATAATTTTGTTTTTTTCGATTATTTTGTTTGCTTTCTGGTAAATAATTTATCTTAATTATAAAATTACAAACAAAAATAACAAATTATATCCAATATCAAATCTAATGGACGTTTTAATAATTATACACCTCAAACTTCAAAATATTCGTCTTATAAAGTTAAATCGTTTTAACACACGTTTTATGCTTTGGAATAACAGCAAGTAATAAAAGGTTGTAAATAAGGCTTGTCATGAAAATTTTTTTTTTCATATCATTGTATTTTTTTTTTTTTTGTGCGTGAATCGGAAGGTTACGTTTTTAACATTTCTGATCTATACTATGATAACGTGATTGATTTTCAATTGCGTGAATTTGTAGCTTTGGCTCGAATTCAATTGCCCGAATTATGTATAACAAACCGTCAAAGTAGTAATTATTGACTGTACTTTTACTTCGTTATAGGACTGTTGACATGATAGGTTAATTTAACGTCAAGATTAATTTCGGCTAATTTCCTTTTTAAGATGCCGATTAGCATTGATTTACTGATTACAAATACACTTTCCATTTGTCTTCAAATTAATATCAATCAATCTTTTAGTGTCCGAATTGTTTATCGTAAGGCATGAAGTAATTATTGCAAGGATGCATAATTTATTTTATATGCTTTAGTTTGCAAAGAGTTTTCTGTATTACATCATCATCACAAAGAATATTAATTATGAATCATTATACTTTTTTTCATCCGATAAAAACAAATATGACTAGTCATCAAAATAAATTGCATTCAGTATATTAAGAATCTTTTAAATAAAGATTCCTTGATATATTATATTTATTCTCTAAATCTTAAATTCATTTACAATTTAAAGAACTTGTTAGTCAAATTAAATCTCTTATTTTTAACATATGACAGACAATTTGCCTATCGGTTATATATTATTGATCTTGCATAAGAATTAAATTTCATGGTTATCGAGGAGAATAAAAAAAAAAAAAAAAAACCTCGAAAATATAGCTGCGGTCTGAAGCGCGTAAAAAAAAATGAAAATTCATTAAAAACTGAGAGAGCTTAATTGGTTACCATATATTTTATACTATATTTTTTATTATTATTCAAAATTGAGGTTTAAGCGTAAGCTTAAGTACAAAGTATCGAATCGAAGTGTCTATATATTTTAATACATGATATAATTAAAATAACTTTTTAGAAATATTATAAAAGAAACGTGGCGTAGAAATATGTAGCATATTATTGTCATTAAGGCAGTTAATAAAATATGTTGAGTTAACCAAATATTGAATTCGACTTTGTCGCTTTAAAAAATTATCAAATCACTTTCATGAACATTTTCTTTATGTTCATCCATCAATGTTAGGTAATTCTGTGCCTCTGCATTTCCTTTTTCGGCGGCGAGCAGATATAATTCGAATGCCTTTTCTTTATCTGCGTTGGTTCCAATTCCTTTGCTATAGCAATTACCTAGTTGAACTTTTGCATCAATATAATCTTGTTTGGCAGATCTCGCATACCATTCAAATGCATTGAGTTCATTCTTTTCAATACCCAATCCGTACAGATAACAATTACCTAAACTGTATTGAGCAACCTTGTTTCCATTCGCTGCTGCTTTGTGGTACCAATAAAATGTCTTGTCCAAATCTATTTCGACTCCCAACCCTTTTTCATAAAAATAACCCAAACTATACTGAGCATTGCTGCAATTTTGCATTGCAGATTTATTAAACCATTCTAGTGCTTTAACCCCATCTTTTTCGGTAAAAATTCCACCTTCGTAGAATCTACCTAATTTGTATTGTGCGAATTTATTACCATTGTTCGCTGCGATTTGATACCAATGGAAAGCCTTTTCTAAATTATTTTCCACGCCCATCCCCTTTTCATAGAAGAACCCCAGACTGTATTGTGCACTATCGCAACCTTGCTCCGATGACTTTGCATAACATTCAAAAGCTTTGGTTTCATCTTTCTCAACACCCCTTCCGTACTGAAAACAATTCCCTAAATTATTTTGTGCGGCCTTATTTCCATGTTTTACGGATTTTTGATACCATTCGAAGGCTCGACTTAAATTTTTTTCGATACCGATGCCATTCTCGTAAAAGAATCCCATGCTATACTGAGCATCGTTGTATCCTTGGTTGGCCGACTTTTCATACCATTCAAATGCTTTGACCAAATCTTTTTCTACGCCTCTTGAATTTTCATAAAATGATCCCAAACTGAATTGGGCAAATTTATTTCCATTTGTGGCAGATTTCTCATACCAATAAAATGCTTTTTTCAAATCTTTATCGACTTCTTTTCCTTCCTCATAAAAATGTCCTAAACTATATTGCGCACTATTATAACCTTGTTCGGCGGATTTTTTATACCATTCAAATGCTTTTGAAATATTCATTTTAACTTCTTTTCCATTTTCATAGAATACTCCAAGGTTGTACTGGGCAATTTTATTTCCATTAACAGCGGATTTTCGATACCAATACATCGCCTTTCCCAAATCACTTTCTATTCCTAAACCTTTTTCGTAGAAGAAAGCTAATGTGGCTTGTGCAATTTTGCTTCCATTATTCACGGACTTTTGATACCATTCGAATGATTTTTTCAAATCCTTTTCTGTGCCCTTCCCATGCTGATAACAACACGCCAAACTATATTGTGCGTCAAAATTATCTTTCTCGGCAGATTTTTTGTAAAATTCAAACGCTTTTTTCGCATCCTTCTCAATATCCCATCCATTCTCATAGAATTTCCCTAAATTATGAAACGCGGTTTTATTTCCATCTTCGGCGGACTTCTGATACCAATAAAAAGAGTTTCCAAAGTCTTTTTCCACTCCTCTACCTTTCTCGTAAAAGAAGCCTAATTTAATTTTTGCGGCTTTATTTCCATTCACTACGGATTTTCGATACCATTCAAAGGCTATCTCGTAATCCTTTTCCACCTCTATGCCATTCTCATAAAAGTATCCTAAACTATACTGGGCGTCATTATAATCTTGATCAGCTGATTTTTCGAACCATTCAAGTGCTTCACTTCTGTCTTTTGCAACACCCTTCCCAAGGTGATAACAGTTGGCTAGATTATATTGTGCAACTTTATTTCCGAGTTCCGCGGATTTTTTATACCAATAATAGGAACTTTCCAAATTTTTTACCACCCCTATCCCATTCTCATAAAAAAATCCTAATTTATTCTGTGCGCCATTATAATCCTGTAAGGACGACCTCTTATACCATTCAAATGCTTTAATGACATCCTTTTCAACGTTCCATCCATTTTCATAAAATCTACCCAGATTGAATTGTGCAATCTTATTCCCATTCTTTGCTGATTTATGGTACCAAAATGAGGCATTTTTCAAATCCTTTCTGACTCCTATTCCTTTTTCATAAAAGAATCCAGTTTTATATTGCGCATCGGTATAATCTTGTTGCGCTGATTGTTTATACCATATAAATGATTTTTCCTTATCGATGTCCACCCCTTTTCCATTTTCATAACATGAACCCAGACTGTATTGTGCAAACTTATTACCGTTATTTGCTGAGACCGTATACCATTTAAAGGCAGTCATCAAATCCTTCTTAACACCTTTTTCATTTTCGTAAAAAAAACCACACTTATATTGCGCTAGGTTATATGTACTTTTTTCCGCGACCGATTTGTATAGATTAAAGGCCTTTTCATAATCTATTTGAAATCCTATCCCATTTTCGTAGCACAATGCAACTCTATACCGTGAGATCAAATCTTGGTCAACTTTCTCGACCATTGATTTAATTGATGTTACAACGCGTTTAATTGAGGGTCGATTGTTTGGATCTTCTGAACAGCACGCTGAGAGATGAAATTTGAATTAATAATTTAATTTAGATAAAAGGAAGCATTGCATTATCAGGAGATTATTTACCAGTGTATAAATTGCTAAATTCGACTGGTGTATTTTTGGTGATCATTTCCCTGTTTCCATTTGTTATAGATATTTGCCATAATAAAACACCAACGCTATAAATATCTAATTTGGCGTATTTGCTTAAAGAATTTGAGGCTTTTGAAGCATCGGAAAATTTTCTCGAAGAACAAAAATCCACCAACTTGATGACGTTCTGATGCACGAGCACGTTATGCGAATGCTAAAGGAGAAAACAAAAGAAATGAAATAAATGAAATAAATGAATAAATGAATATATGGGACTAATGAACATTTTAATTCATGATTAACATTTTCATGAATCAAAAAAAAATATATATATAAATTATCAATTACCAAATTACAATGGATGATTCCCAAGTCATGGATATATTCTACGGCACTTGCAAGTTGTAACGATAATCGATATTTATCATTCCAATCAAGGTTGACGAAGTTATTCTTAAAATAATTTAAATAAGAATCCAAGGACCCGCCTTTTACGTATTCTGATACCAATAGATATTTGTCTTGATTTATGGAACCGGTTTCAATCTTTGAGATTCCATAAGGTCGTAGAATGTTTTCATGTGAACCGATTTCTCTTTGAAATTTTAACTAAAGAATAAAAGGATGAATATATATTTTAGAATTTACACTTGTGTGTCACGTAATATAAGAACCAATTTTAATAAAAGCGGTCATACCTCATTTACGATTTCTTTGATGGATAATGATTTCACGACCAAAAGAGTGCTATCTTCCTTATAATTCGTTCGAAAGGTGTTTCTGAAGGAATCGCTACACATCATTTCCATATTCTTAAATTCCGAATAATCATAGCTAGTGAAGTAATTTTCAGCGAATGCCTCTTCCAACCAGTTGATACATTCAACGGAAAATTCGGTTTGTTTTACGAATGCCATTTTAATGATTTATTATGGTTTTTTGATTTTTGAAAAAAAATATTAAAGGTTGTTTTAATTTTATTGATTATTGTTCTACGATTTTCTTATTTTTTTTTTGTGAAGGAATTGATTTTTTTGATTTGTTTTTATTTTTTTCTAAAGTGCAAAAACTTGTGAAATTTATAGAAAATTTTTCAGATCAAAATTTTTTTTTTTTAGTTTTATTTACGGGACGTTACATTTGTTTCACGTTCTAGAATTTTGTGCCGCGCATCTCTCAATGGCACATAAAGAAAAATTTCAGGACGATCCATGAAATTTAATGACCAACCGATTACTAACCATAAATGGGATGGGCAATGCATACGGGAAAGGATAAATATATCCATGCAATGAGCATTGAAATGATGAATTTGGTAAGACTCATTTAAATGTCTTTTTTATCGTAAATATCAAGAAAAATTTAAGGTTTGATGGATGGGTTCATACTTCGATTATTGTTCATGCATTCAATAATTAAAAAATCTTTACATAACAATGCATAAATTTGGGAATAATTTTTGTTGAGCTGAAACACTAGATGGGCTATGTGCGCGAGGAAATTTTGGAATTCACATCAGATGAAACCACGACAAATTTTGGACTAGTCCAAAAAATTGAAGGAATGCGTGGCGCAACAATCACTATGCGAGTGAAGAGATACAATGAAATGCTTCACATAAAATTAAACAAGAAAAATCTCAAACATTAAAAAAGCTTCTCGTTTTAAAAAATAGGTATTCTTTTGAGAAAAAAAAAGAACAATTGTTCCAAGATCATCATCCATCATAATATTAAGAATAACGAACATGACCTTCAACAATCGTTGAATTACTTATTTTAATAATGACAGTGCAACAATAATGTGAGATGGATATGAGATATTCGTTGTTTCAAAATTTTCTTTATGAATAAACTTTCTGTATTATTGAATAAAGAACCAAATAAAGTTTCTCATATTCGTTATGTAACTTTTAATATGCTGCTTGTAAACTGTTAAACGGTGAAGATTTTTATTCATATAAAATTACATGCACGCCCGTGTAAGCTTGATTGCAGAAAAGTTTATTTTTGTGTTCCTGAAATTTGTTTCAGAAATACAACGAAAAAAAGAAGTGTTGCAAGATAAGGAGCAAATTTGTCGGGGGAGTACGGCGTTAATTAAATACTTCATTACGTAAATTTCTGCAAAATCTTTTATGGATGCCGCCTTCCATTTGTGTTCCCAGAATAATAATAACAAAAATTTGATGTATGGATAATCTATTGTCATGCATTTTTTTTTTTGTTTATTCAAAATCCTATTTTGAATTTTTTTTAAAAAATAAAACTTATATGAAATAACAAAAATGGTTAACAGTATCACAAATATTGTTCAATTTATAAATAGATAATTTTCTCATGCAAGATTGATAGCCAAATTTCAAATTTAATTTGTTTTAATTTAATTTAATATTAATTAAATTTTCAATTAAATTTTTAATTAATCTTTGTTCTCTTTATTTTTTCAAGGATAACGACTTGACTTGTTATCATCCACACAAAAATAAATTTGTAAATAAACCTATTTTTGAGGTTTTGAGTCATCAATTTTTTTTGGCTCCGCTATTCATGCTATCCTCACAAAGAGCATGTGAAAACTTTATACGGATAATACTTACAAATTGAAGCCATACGTCTGTAAAACAACAAGCACAATTTGTAGTCGTGAGAGAGCCTATAAAAGGAAATAATTGTAGAAGGAATGGAACCATTTTTTGAGTCATTGTAATTACTGTCATAATTTAATTGGTTGGTTTTCTGATTGACTTGTAAATATCACGTCATATGTCAATCAACATAGATAACGCACAAATATAACCTGTAATATTTCATAAAGTCGTTTCTTTGCATTCTGAAGCGTAGATTGCTAATCCGTGAAATAATGAGTATTAATTAAATCAGATAGAAGGATTCATTTTGATATTTCCTAACCTTTATATTTATAATATTAATCTCGTACATAATCTCCAAGACGAAATGGACATTCATAATAAAAAAAAACTTGAAGGTTCAACTTGCGAAGAGATAACTTTCTAAAAAAAGAATTTGTATCATCGTTTATATTATTATATCATATTGGTCTAAAAGATTACATTAGAAGAATTTGTAATGTACAAAGTATTAATGCAACTCGTTTAAAATCAAATTACAAATTCATTACCGTAGATTGGCAAACATGTTAACATTGTTGATTATATATTGATACGTGGATTTATCAAGAACATTGTTTATTTTTAAATTTTCTGAAAGGTTATTAATGTGGATTTCCACATTCACAAAGAGTGAACCAAATAATTCAATAGCAAATTCAATAGCAAATTCATATGTTGTCGATTAGCGACGTCATTCTAAATAAAAGCGCGACATTGTTTCACAAGATTTTTTGTTACTGGAAAATTTTAAAAGTATGTCCGGCGTTGCGAACATGAAAGAAAAATTATCAACATATGCATTTTAGAACAAATAAAAAGAAAACTATTACGAAATAGATAAATTTCATTTTTTTTAATTAAAGAAATTGTTACATCATCTTAATGCATCAACTTCAAATTCGAATTAACATGTTTTGGTTTAGCTGAGATGATAGAACCCTAATAATAACATTAACAAAAGATATAATACCCTTGTTCAAATATAAATTTAATCAATTAATCGATGCCTAATTATGGTTACATTCTTCATTTTTTTAATGTCAATTTCCCGAAGCGAAAACCCACAAGAAACTATATTATTAATAATGTAGAAAAGATTACCTAACATTATATTATTCAGAAGTATTGATATAGTCACTCTTCGGAATCTGACTGCGACCGAAATTTTGATCGCCGCGGCATTGTCAATCAATTTTCTGACATATCTGCTTTACGGACCATTACGAAAGTTCGGTCTCTTCTGGATGATGGAATGTATATGTCAAAGTGACCATTTTTAAAATCAAGAATCAATTAATAAGCATTTCCGTCATCCAAGTCACACGACCATTGATCTTCACAGAGGAATCCGTAACAAAGGAAATTTGTTATAAAGGAGGACTTTTTCGCCTTGTATTTTCAGTAGGATTGAATTGGATAGTTCTATTCTCTTAAAGGCCTATTACAGAGGCAGTGATAGTTGATTTTTATATTTATTCATAATTCATTTAATAAACTGATCCTTTATAAAATTTTATTTTTTATTTCTTTTAATTGATCCACACGCAATTTTAACTAATTCCGGAGAAGAAAATTTATTCGGTAGTGAAAAGTTTATTCTTAAAACTCTATCGGTCACTTTTGGCAATAATTAATTTCAGCTGAATGCCATGCCCATTTCGTGACATTTTTTATGGGAACGCAAGACAATCGTAAAGTTATAAATGCGCCTAAATTGAAGAACGGATCAATTGATCCTTTTAAGAAAGAATTATTTCATATAGATTTTAAATATAAATCGACTTCATTTTAAATTTATTGCCACTTTCTCTCATATTTATACGGTAAAACAATACATATTTTACCTCTTAACACAAAAATAGTAGCATCTTGAAGATAAAACTTTGATGCACAAACATATATCTCCTACGCAACATAAGATATCTTTTTGTATTAGAATTGATCAAGAATGTATTATGTCCTCTTTGATTTTAGGATTTATAGAACTGATAAAAATCGATTGGTATTGTGAAATAATGTCTAGCTAAAATTCTTTATTGATAGATTGCAGAATATACTCGTTCGTTTTATTGACAATGCAAATAAAGGTGGAATTAAAATTATATTATGGTTTTTCGTGAAATTTCAGAATAAAATCATATGCGCGCGTTTCAATTTTGAAATGCGATATAAATTTCCTGAATAAATTTTAACATACATATGTAATATTCTACACTTCACATACCCCATGAATTCTTCGTTATGTTCACATCTACAAAAAATATTAATAATTCAATTATTATTTGATAGCTATGTAAATTTTTTATTTAATAATTAGAAAAATAACGTAAAGCACAAAGTGATGATTTCATCAACCACCTACAAAATTTAAAGCGTACACTTCAAACAAACTACTGCTTCAAGTGTAATAATTTTTATTGTAATATTCTTTTCTTTGGCGAGCGTCAGCTACTAAATTTTGGAATTTTCCTAATAAATTTTCACATATAAAAAGGCGTTATTTTACTTGTATATAAATCTTAAAATAAGAGTATGTAGTGCTCCGAGCCGGTCGAATCGACCCGGGTCATTTGACCCGACTCGAGAAAAATTTCGAGTCGGGACAATCATTTTATGTCACGAGTCCTAATTTCTTAAAACCCGTCGGGTTATGGTCTCGATTTTGCTTGACCCGGGTGACCCGAATGATACAGTGTTCGGAAATGACCTGGTCATTTGACCATTTAAATGATCTGTCTATTCCTTATTTCGCAAATGATCTAAATGACAAATGATAAATGATCAAGATCATTTAAGATCATTTAAATCATTTGTCATTTAGT